CCCCCCCCCTCCCCCCAAAAAAAAAATTAAATTTTCAGAATTGGGAGGTGGCATTTTGAAAGTTAGGTTTATTTATGGGAGGTATTGTTAAAGTTAAGTTTATTTAAAAATGGTGTGAATAAAATTTATCCTATAAAATATTCAGTGGTATCGTTGTAAATCAACAATTTCCGTTAACATGGTAACGCGACAAGCATTGACAAGGAGTGACAGTGAAGTTTCCGAATCGGAAAGATGTGTCATTGAATTTAGACTTAACTACAGAGGGTATGAATAAAAATTTTCCTATAAAACGAATCCAATTTAATAAATTTTTATGCTCGTTTTTTATTTAATTTGAACCCGAGCTAGAACTATTCCCTACCTGGCTCATTGTCTTAGTCAAACAAATTATATTTGTAAATTATGTGAAATATTAAGACCACTTCAATAAAACTAGAAAATATATTGAATTAATAGTTATAACTCGTGCCTAAAAGTATAATAAAATATAAAATTCGAACGTCTAAAATATCAATTTCATTATATTAAATTATAATTTTTCTTTCCTTCATTTATATGATTATATTATTTAAAATTTATTTTTACCTTTTTTTTTTAAATATCAACATAAATATGTAATCCGACAAATTTTCTCATAATGTATATATTATCGTATATGGATAATGTCTGAAATAAAAATTATATTAAACTATAAATTAATTAAATACTAAATGATTAAACATGTGATAGAAATAGATGATGGCATGATGGGATGATTTTGTGGGGGAGGGAGGGGGGGAATAATATGTATAAGATAAAATTTTAAACACTTAACTATTTTATTATATAGATTTACCACGATATAATTTCATAAACTTATTTCTCGATATACATCATTTGTAACTTATTTATTAAATTATAATATTTTTTAAAAAACATAGTCAATAATCTACTTTTGTTGTAAAAAAAATGTGGGCAGTGATAAGGAAATAGATAAAAAGCATGTGTTAAACTACACATGCTTTTAAAGTTTTTTCTAAAAAATGTGTTTTAACACTTTTTTAAGTTTTTTTTTTTTTAAAAAGTGTTTAATAAACACACTTATCACAGGAATTAACACACATTCTCTTCAAAGGCATCTAAACCTACTGCATGAAAATATGAATTCTATAAATCGGACCCATTGGTACCCATTCTCTTAAAACAAATCCAACCTTGATGGAGATTTCTTTTTGATTTTTTTCCTCTTCATCTCCGTGGTAAATATTGTAATTGATGGTACCTAAAATTTTTTTTTTAATATAATGCAAAAAATAATTTTTTGGAAACTATTTGCATATACCTCTAAGTAGAGGTGGTAAATAGGTGAGTTGAATTGGTTATGGGTTGGGTTAAATTAGTTTGAGTTAAAATAAATCCAATCAATTTTTCATTCACGTATTAAATGAGTTATAATGAGTTGAATTTATAAAGGGTTAAGTTAAATCCATTAATCCATAAAATAATTAAAATTCTTAATAGACACACATTAGTACACCAAAACACACATATTAGTAGTACACCAAAATACAAACACACACACTAATACACCAAAATATATAAACTAATACACTAAAAATACACACACTAATCTATATCTATACTACTAATAAAAGTACCTTAACATGAAAAATTTTTGATTCACTATTTTACCCTCATAAAAAATTAAAAATGTCGCTCTTTCCTTTCACATTTAATACCTAAATTACCATCACATCCTTATGTATTTAAATCTCCAAATTACATCTTAAATCACTTTTAATTATACATTTCCTACGTATAAATGTCAATTTTTATAAAATTTTTTGATTAATTATATTCCTCTTAAAAGATATATGCATTATTATAAGTTTTAATAAAATATTAAAAAAAAATTCAAAAATTCCATCAATATAATATTACTCATCTCATTAATTTATAAAGATAATATTATGATTATATATGTATATTTTATTTTTCATCAAAATGTTAAGCCCTTTCATTTTTAAGATAGAAAATTATGTATTATAGATTTATATAATTTTTAGTCACAGTAAACTTTTCAGTATGTGTTAAGATTTTATGTGAAAACTTGATTTAAAAATTTAAAAATGCTTTATAATATATATTATAGCATGGTATATTAACTTTTATCCCAATTGACCTAGATAATCCTAAATACCGTAAGGTTCCAATATGATTGGTATATTGATAATTATTTTAATTTTATTCAATAATTTATAAGTGGAATCTTAATCAAATTAATTTTTCAATTATCTACTCTTTATTTATAAATGTCAATTTTTATGAAACTTTTTGATTGATAATATTACTCTTAAAAAATATATGCATTATTATAAGTTTTAACAAAATATTCAAAAAAAAACCTTCAAAAACTCCAACAATATAATATTACTCATCTCATTTATAAAAATAATATTATGACTATATATGTATATTTTATTTTTCATCAAAACCATTTTCATTTTAAGATAAAAAATAATGTACATATAGTTTTATATAATTTTTTAGTTATAGTAAATTTTTTAAACTGTGTTAAGATTTTATGTGAAAACTTGATTTTTTTTTAAAAAATTTTAATATGTTTTATAATATACATTATAAAGTTGTATATTAAATTTTATCTCAATTGACCTAACTAATCTTAAATACAGTGAGGTTCCAATATGATTGATGTACTGATAATTATTTTTATTTTATTCAATGATTTATAAGTGGAATCTTAATCAAAATAATTTTAAAAAATTTTATTTTCAAAAATCACTAAAAAATAATTTCAATTAAAAATTATAGAAGAAATAGAACTTTAATTATTTATTTTCTTTTTTTTTTTAATCATTTTTCTTAAAGTTAGAATAACAAATCTTAAAAATATACAAAATATAAAAAAAATTCTATAATGGAGCACAAGAGATGAAAAAATAATTTTGGTAATTTATGATTGTATTTAATTTAAGTAAACATATACTAAATATTTATTTATTATTATTTTTAAAAAAAATTAGTCACGTGCAATGCACGTAGTGCATTGTTAGTTACTTCTAAATGTCAAGATTTAAGAAAATTTTTTGAATGACTGTTACACCCTTAAACAATTATATAAACAAAACACTACCTTTTAGAATACCAATTAAAAATTCTATTAATATTAGGAATTATGTCATTTGTACACCATTGATAGTAGAAATGTGGCGGTGATTAGCCATAATAGCACAATTATGTATTAAACTCAACAGATGCAATATATGCAATCTAATGGGTATATCTAACATGAATTCCTCATTATCTTTATTAGATTCTTCATATGTAATTTTTAAAATATTAATTTAATACATTAATAAATTATTTTTTGTAATAATATTACTATGCAGTGGGGGTAACGATGGTGGTGCACTAAAAGTAGGGATGATGGTGCAATATTGTAAATTTCATTTATCGCACAAGGGTAGTCGCTTATAAAAAACTGACAATCATATAATTTTTGTAATATACAAAATTACCAATAAATCACAATTTTTTATAAGTGAGGACTCTCTTGCGAGAAGTCAAGCTCGAGATGATGACATTTAAAATCTTTTACTTCAAATTATATTACGAATTAATTTATGCACGACTATTGTCCCTCATATAGCCAGTCAACCCATGAGAGGTTGGAGTTAAAAAAATTGCTTCT